AGAAGTGCCCCCGATTTGAGTCAAGTGTTATTTTGGGCGCTTTGTGTGCGCCACAATTATACGACAATTATAAATAAACGCCTAATACCATTATCTAGCCGCAGGGCGACGTAAGTCAGCCCAGTTTAGAAGGTGTCGTAGTGCCGCTCTAGCGGATATCTTTTTTTCGTTTGTCAGGTACCTGAGTATCTGTATCTGGACAGGGGCCAAGATTTACGAGTTCCGACGGGGAGTGCGTCATTTTGCCGGGTTATTGGCATCGGAACTAACTGTTTTCGGAGCGATCATTGCCTCTCACCTTTCGGCCGGCTATTGCACTCAATTACCAGGTGGCATAAGGCACATAGAGGGGAAATGGAAATGAAAATGGAACTTTACCGCACACATGAGAACCCGTTTTTACCGCCCAGCTAGCCCTCAACTCATCTGTCGGCACTTGGTCTAGATACATGCGAAAAAGCGCAAAAAGATACAAGATAATGTTCTCTCTCCGCCAAATACGCAGATACGTTGAACTGGATCTGTATCTGTAACATGTAAAATAAGAACAAATGCAAGTTGTGAAATTCTTTTTTTATGAATCCCCAAATCTATCCGGCGGGCAATTTGGAATGTCAAAGTTGACAACTGCATGGTAAGTGGAAAACTATGAGATTTATTTGCCTGCAACAGCATGTGAAAATGTGCATTTTCGGCATTCGCGGTATTGTGGCGTCATTTTTAAGGTCCATGCTTGGTTGCATGTGTAGCAGAGCTTTGTTGACGATACTCTACGAATTGGCCAAAGGCATTTTGATTATGTTGCACTTAGCAGTCATAAAATTATAGAAAAAATAAGTGAATTAATGACTGGTCATTTTGTAAATTGAAAGGGTAGGCTGAACTGGTTGGTGGAACAAGCAAGTTGAGCCACTTGCTAAGCCGATTACTTAAGCCAAAGTCAAAGAGTTGGATGGTCAGGTTAAAAGTTGAACCGAACACATAAACAGGAATGTTGAACAGGAAAATATATCAGGAAAGTTTACAGAAATGTTGAAAATTTTACAAGTTTACAGAGGATTTTCGTGAAAAAATAAACATGATTGGGGAATTTAGTTTTTCAATAAGGAGAAATGAATGAGTTGTCATAAAAATGTTAGTATAAGGAAGTTAGGATGGTAAACCTGGTTGTGGAAAGGGGAAATTTTTGTTTCCAATACAAAAAAATCATAGTAAAGTGAAAAACCAAAAGGTTTAAAGGGTTTCCAAAATCGTTCATTGCATTCGAGGTTATTTTTACAAAAGGGCCTATAAAAAGCAATGCCAAGTATCTAATAACAATTGAAAATTCGTTCAACTGGCAATTTGAAACTTAGAGCCTCTAATCTCAGGGCAAACATCTTGCTGCGATTCTCATTGCAGACCGCAGAGCATCTGGCATTCGATTGCCCCAACCATCCGCACTCTTTATAAGGCTTTTGCACGCGAGCCAAGACGAACCAGACGCTGATGAATATCATCATCATGTAATACCCGAGAAATGTGTAACGATGAGGCAATGCCAGCCGTAGTTGGATTATGATGATATGCCAGGGAGTCGGGACCCGGTGCCGAACGGACTTGTAAAAATTGACAATGCTAATGGGGCGGCGGAAATCGGGCATTAGCCAGCCGTAATTTGCATAGGAAATCGGCTGAGATTCGGGATGCACAATTAGATGCCCAGACACGTTCCGTTCCCCAGACGTGGATGCGAGTACGCTGGGCGGCTTATGTAGGAGATAGAGGTAGAACCGATCCGTTGACCGCTGGCAGCATATAACGGGGGACCCAACGGAACCACTTTGGAAATACCCGATCCGATCCCGATGTTGCATGACAGCCGCAGACGGAGAAAGGCTGCGGAAAAAAGAGAAAAGAAATGATATGCAACGAAATTTCTTCCTGGCCAGTCTGGCCAAAACAAAAAAAAACTGCAAAACTGGTCCACCGTGACCCACTAAGGCCTCTCTTTACTTTTTACTCGAAATTCAGCCACCGAAAGCCGACTTTAACACCACCATTTGCCACAAGGTGCAGACGGACCCGCTCTCTTTTTAAGGTGGAGCTTCCGTGAGTCACGTTTGCTTCTTACTTCCGTTAATTGATTTTAAAATACCAGGAGAACTCATCGCACGTATTTTTAGACCATGTGCAAAAACCTTTATTCGCAACTTTCACTTTGGTGAACAAGTTTAATCGACGGGGGAAGATAAGATTCTTGAAAAATACATTTTTAACATTGATGATGTGAGTTCATTGAGTATATTTTAATTGATAATGGTGTTTTAAGTGACTGGAAAGTTTTAATGTTTGTTATTCCATATTTATTACGGCAGTATATTTTTTTTAACACAAGGGTTAAGAGCTGTGGCCCAATGCGTTTTCGGCAACTGAACAAGATCAACAAAAAAGACAACAATAAAATACAGCTAGCACGGCTTCATTGGTTTTGCGGTTAAAATGTTGCAACAAGAACAGGCAATGCCACAAAACTTGGACAGCAAAGAAACACAATCGAATTTAAGACTTTAAAGTCGGAGGCTTTAATACACTGGATTTGTGTTAAAAGCTTGGAACTCTTTGTTATGTAATTCAAACTCTGTAAATATAAATAAAAATCGAATTTGAATTTTAACGTTCTTTAACTTAAGGGATATGAGCAGAAAATCTCCATATATAATAATACACCTTAAGTTTCTTAAGTAGGTTTGGAAAAAACCTAAATATTTTTATCACAAGACTAGCTTTAAGATCTGTTGCTCCAATTTCCTAAGATTCCTTTATAGAACCTATCAAAATCTCATAATCATTGCTTCACCCACTTTTGGCCAAACTAATAATACCCCTTTTGAACCATCATCAAAACCCCAACAAAGCAACCGAAAACTTGCGAATCTATAAAAATGCAAATTAGAAGAGGCGAAGAAGTAACACAATAAACGACTCCAGAAACTGGAACGAACTAAGACTGTGATTCAGAGACTTAGACAGCGACTAAGACTCCGACTTGGAATCAGATCGAGGAACCGTAGATAAACGTTACTCGTGCTATTGCCTCTGGGCAGCCAAAGAAGCGTTGGCGAGGCTCAGTGATCTATGGGCTGGCCAGCCAAATTGGTCAAGAAGCAATTTGGGTTAACTGCAGCTGCAACACGCTGGGGATCGGGAAAAACTTTGGCCAATTAATTGTGCGGAAATCTGCGAGGCGCGTCATAAAATACTGTCGCTTTTTCATCTCTCTTTCAGCACCGGTCTTTGATGGGAAGTTGCTCCTCTTGGATGGATAGTGATTTTAGTAGTTTTGCACCTGCACAATAAACAATACGATGGTGCACAGAAAGAAAACCTAGGTTAACAACTTATTAATATAATTTAAAATGCAGAACATATATTAACTATTGCAATGGCCTTTTTGTTTTTTTTCTTTTTTGATCAATTGAAACTTTCCAAAAAGAACAGTTTCTAACAAACATTTATAATTTCGGCATAATATTAAAATGGTGTAATATGATATATATATATATATATTTGGAATTTGATAAAAAAATTATAAAATATTTAGATTTTTAAAAGTATATACGTATCAGTAAGAAATATCTTTAGGCAAACAAGCTGTTACTTTGTGGATTTTAGAAAGGTGACTGTTCCTGAATATTCATATTAAAATTGACATGCATATTGATTCATAGTGATTATTCATAGATGCAACTTTGATGTAACTTTGATGGCTCGAAATCTAGTTAGACCTGATCTCTTTCTTTTTTCGCTGTGCAGGTGGCCGGAGGCATTCTTGCGTGCAAACCTTGACCATGAAACACGCTCCGCGATGAGATGACGTGCCCATAAAAGCGGTGGGCAACAATCCCAAACATTTTCCTGGCAATTAAGAGCCACAGAAAATTAGTAAGAAATTGAAATTGCTCAACTCACGTTTACGTTGGTGGACGAAGTGCTGCGATGGTCAATGGCATTCGCTTGCCAGCGGGTTGTGCAAGCCAACTTGTGCGACAGTTACATCTATATATGCGCCACAAATAACTGGTTTACAGGCCGAAATACAAAAAAAGAAGGGTAAAATAATAATAAACAAAGCAAAAACACCGTTTTGGACCGGCCTCCAAGGCATGCTACCCAAATGGAGCCGTTGCCGGTCTGTCAATTAGCAGCCGGGCGACATGACAGTGCACTGAACTTGTTACGCTTAAATAGTTGATAAGCCTCAAGTTTATGATTTCTTAATGTCAACTGAAATGTGGCAACCGCACGCTTTTGGCCATTAACCCATTTCCAGCCAGGTTCTAGAGGCATTCCAAGTGGACATAGTCGGTTTTTCATTTATATTTATTTTAACTTTCCAATTTAGTTGCAGCTTCTGTCCATAATCAATTACAAATTAAAAGCCAAATTCATTCGCTACTTGGTTTAATTCAATTAGTTTAATGGTTGGAATCATTTAATTAGTAACTTTATTTGAAAATTCGCTGCACTGGACTTTCCATGCATTTCATTTCCGGTAAATATTTTTTTTGTTTTGACACGTACAAATAAAAAACCATAAATCAAACATTTTGTAGATATAGACCTTTTTATTTGTCAACACGTAAAGTTTAAAATAGGTTATACTCTTGGGAAAAAAAGCTCACTCGTGTGGCTTTTGTATTATACAGCATAAACAATGTACATATTATATTTAATCCGAAATTCCCCTCCTATCTGAAGTCCCCAAGTTCAGTGGGTTAATCTGTATAGTCTGCTCGGCCAGTCTGATTAGAGATAAGAGATATATGGTCATGCGATGATGCTACGATATTTGCTGAGAGTAATTGCTCTGTTGATGGTGGGCGAAATGGGAGAGAAAGAACCCAAATGGTGGGGAAATTGGGAGAGAAAGAACCCCAATGTTTTATATAGTATAGGCTCCTATACATATATTCCAAGTGGATGGGATTGCTTGTATAGAGCGGCGCATGTGAAATGGGCAATTCGAAAAGAGCAGTTGTGTTTGGCTTGCGAGGCTGCCCAGAGCGGAAAGCGAGCGCGGACGATGAATAAAATATTTGGAATTTGGTGTGCCCTGTGCCTGCTGCTTATTTTGCCCACGTCCGGAAATACACAATCCCCGGAAAATGCACAATCCCCGGAAAATTCCCAGCTCCTGGTGGCCATCCACTACGAGGCCCTGTGTCCAGACAGCATGAACTTCATCCGCCGCCGACTCTACGATGCTCTAAACGACAATAACTGGTGGTCCGTCACCGATCTGAAGCTATATCCATTTGGCAAAGCGGGGGTGAGTCAATCACAATAAAAAACATGTTGTATACTTTTCTTTTTTCCCTCATAAAGACACTCTAACCTTGGAATGCCATTTTAATTCATTCTTGGCTCGTTGCAAAAACATTTGTTTTAGCACAGTCTATAGTCTTATAAACAAAGCATTAAACTCAAACGAGTACCTATGTACATATTTATGTAGTCCATTTTGACATCACTCAATTCTGAGTTCCAAAGAGAGTAAAGCAAGTCTCTTAGAGATGTACTTTGATTTCACGATTCACCTCTTTTAATCTTTCAGTTCTACAACAGTTCAGGCAAAACGCAGGTGTACTGCCAACACGGTGAAGATGAGTGCGAACTGAATGCCCTGCACGCCTGTATTATTGAGACCCTAGATATTCGGAAGGCCTTTGACCTCATCTATTGCATGCTGAGATCCTACTCAAATGAACTGGATAAATGTTCCAGGAGCATGGGTTTGGATGTGAGCAAGGCCAGGGAATGCAAAAGTTCGCGAACGAACGCCGAAATTTTGGAGCCCTATGGCAGGGAAACCCTCAAACTTGAACTCTCCTTTGTGCCCAGCATTGTGTTTGAGAACGTAAGTAACTTACTTTACAATTTATAAACGGCTTCCCAATTGACTTACCAATTCATTCCCAGAACTTTAAGCCCTACGGACAGAGAAGCATTCGCAACAATTTCGAAAGGCATTTTTGTCAAGAGTACAAGAAGAAGTTCAACATTACACTGCCAACATGTTCCGCAATTTTGTAAAACCTTTCGTAATGAGTAATTTTTTTTACATGTGCCAAGACCAATAAATAATAATTACACTTCACTGGTTCGTTTGCTTTTTCGCTGACTCACATTGGAAAAATAGAAATTTAAATATATCAGCTTATCAGGTGCATTTTTGTACACAGATTCTAATCGGGAACAGCTGTCTGGTCAACTAAAAATGAGATTAAAAGCCTGCTGCTCAGCAATTGCCCACTGGGTTTCCGTAATCAGTTGAGGTTTTCGTGGGCTTTGTTTTGGACACTCACTCGTGTGGAGTCCCGTGGGGAAATGCTCTCTGCTCAGCAGGGGCGCCGACCACGGGGGGCCCACCAGAAAAGGGGAAAATCGTTGGCCAGAGGAAGCAAATCGTTCCATTTTCTCAAGTTGCTTTTGCTTTAGCTAGCCGCGAAGATATTAGCCCAAAGTAGTAATTAAATGGAAACGGCTAATGGCACCTCTACCCATTAATTCATTCGGCAAATATTTGATTTGCCCCATAAAATGCATTGATTTATTACCGAAAAAAAAAGTTATTGTCAAAAAGAAAACAAAGGAAGTCATAAAAATGAAAAATTTTTAAAGGCTAAAATCGTTTACACAGGCTATTAATATTTATTATTGTTTTTATATTTTATTTATAGTCTCATAATATATTTATAGTCACAGTAATTATGAGGCGAGGTAAAACAAAATTGGATTCGTTCAGAAAAGTTTTTAAATAAAAATTAAAAGTATAAAGCAGTCTTTGAGATATTATTAGATAAAAACACATTTTTTTTACATTACATCATTTATAGAGAAAATTGGAAAGGCCCCTTTTACTGTCTTCTGACTACACCACTGCCCGCTTAGAATTTTACGCAACGCATTGAAAACGCTGTGCATATCAAATCCAGACTTTATTTCATTGTCGAGCGGTCGCTGGCGTTGAGCGGCTGAATTTTTCAAGATCAGCTCGGAATTAAACTGAATCTGCCATGAGGGCGTTCGTCTTTGTCTGCCTGCTGCTGGGATGGGTGGGCGTGGCCATGCCAAGGGTAAGTGAACCCGTTGAGCACCGATTCCGAATTGCGACGATCATTGATCATGACTTTGCAGCGACTGCGAGGACCACAGGCTGATCGACTCCCAGTTACCCTGTACTACGAAGCACTGTGTCCCTACTGCATGGAGTTCGTCACCACCCAGCTGAGTCCTTCGATGATTCGCCGGGGTCGACTGCCATTCACTGATCTTACGCTGGTTCCCTATGGAAATGCCAGGGTAGGTTTGCATTATCTTAAGTTACAAAAGTAAATCTAAATTGAATATGAAACTTAACTTTTCTCAAAAAAACCTAGAAATTCCAAGAATCATCCTGGTAACTTAAAAATGTTTATAGAAACCTGCATATTTAATTAGAGTCTCAACAAAGATTTAATTGATTTAAGAGGATGTTAATATTTAAGAGGACAAACTAGTTGATAATTCACTAAAATGGGAAATGGGTCTGCAGAAACCTGCTCAATTCGAAATTTAATAGCATCCATCAAACTAAATCCGCTTTGAAATCGCATTTAATCCCCTCCAGATCGACGACGCCGGAAATGTGGCCTGCCAGCATGGGGAGCTGGAGTGCGAGTTGAACTCCTGGCATGCCTGCATCCTGGAGCACCATGACATTACCTCATCCCTGAAGCTCATTGCCTGCCTGATGAGGTTCAAGAAGAATAGGCTGGACAAGTGCGCTGACCGCTTGAAAATCGACGTTACCGATGTCAAAAACTGCAAAAACACGCGTCAGGTGAACGACATTCTGAAGAAGTACGGCGAGGAAACAGCAAAGATCTCATTTCTGGGAGTGCCAGCCATTGCCTTGGACAACGTAAGTTCATGTTGTAAAACATTAGGTACTGTATCCCAAGACTCTTTGTTTTCTAGATTTATGATGCTAACCTGTCAGCAAATCTAACTGATAATTTCGATTCCATTTTTTGCGCCACGTATAAGGAAAAGTTTAACAAGAAGCTCGACAACTGTCAGTAAATATATAGAGCCTTATTGAGGCCCTTACCTTTCCAGCTGTGTTCATTTTCGATTGAAATGGAAAGGTTATGTACGTAGAAAATAAAATATATACTTTATTGAACCATTGCTTGGTCAAAATGCTAAACGGAAATAATATAAGTAATACATTTAGGGCAACGAGAATTTAAAAAGTATATAAATCATCTCTTGTACATATACCATCTTTAAACAGACCTTAAACTATTAAAGTTGAGTGAGGATATGAAGCTAAGTTTCAAATATTTTTAAGTTGATAAATTTCAAAATTGCCACAACTTTTATTTCTAATTACAATGTTCCAATCAACTTATAAATAAAACGTATAAATTCAAATAAATTGTCAACCTGTCTACAACTTAATATTTTGCGCCCATTTGTGGCGCCATCTATGTCAACCGTTTACCATTAACAAACCTTCTGTTAAGATTTAACATTGCCAGTTAGCGAATACACCCTCCTAAAATAGCGAATACACGCACCAATATTTACATATTGCCTTGTGAAGATAATCCTTTTTCTTTAAATGGATTAAAAAGGTATCAGTGGATGGAAATAATTATATGTACTTACTCTAAAATACCAACATTTCCTACACCACCAGTTGAATATCTGAAAATATGTTAATAGAGTTAGAGTTAAATTAAAAAAATTGTTTACTTAGTGAAGCGATAAAACATCGATAGTCGCCATAAAACATCGATCGAAAGTTTTAAAAACATCGATGCATCGATACTTCTCCTCCCCTACAACACGCGACGGTAATTTTTTGCACGAATTCTGTTTGGATTCTGGAAAATCGCTGAATTCAAACCGAATAGCTGACTGCAGACCGAGCACGAGCACCAGGAAAACGCCCCAGGATGAGCGAGACCATAAACACCGCGGCGCAGTTCCCGACCTTCGAGAAGCCGACCGTGCAGTTCAACGAGAAGGGCTGGGGGCCATGCGAGCTGCCCGATACGTTCAAGGATGTGCCGTACCAGCCGTTCAGCAAGAACGATCGCCTGGGCAAGATCTGCGACTGGACGAGCACCTCGAACAACGACAAGAAGTACCAGAGTGAGTAGAGCCCCTCCAAAAGGGAGTTACCCACAGCCCACCTAGCTTTCCGCCGAAAGTGAGGTTAGGTGCGTGTGTCGTGGCAATACGGGTAATATATGGCCTATTTCCATTCCTCCGCTCCCGCAGACAAGTACGCCTCCAGCTTTGGCACGGGCAACCAGTACTCGTACTACCATGAGGAGGACGAGACCACCTTCCACCTGGTGGACACGGCCCGCGTCCAGAAGCCGCCTCATCAACGCGGCCGCTTCAGGAACATGAGGAACTCGCGTTCCGGTCGCGGCAGGAATGCCCGCGGTGGCCTAAACACCCACGGCATGACCACGCTCAGTGGCAAGAACGTGAAGGCCCGGGATCCGCGTCATGGTCGCGGCATGGGCAAGAAGTTCGGTCACCGTGGACCACCGCCCAAGATGCGCGAATCCTCAGTGGCCGTGCGCGCCGATTGGGCATCCATCGAGGAGATGGACTTCCCGCGACTCATCAAGCTGTCGCTGCCGAACATCAAGGAGGGCGTCGATATCGTCACTTGCGGCACGCTGGAGTACTACGACAAGACCTACGACCGCATCAACGTGAAGAACGAGAAGCCGCTGCAGAAGATCGACCGCATCGTGCACACGGTGACCACCACGGACGACCCCGTCATCCGGCGCCTGTCCAAGACCGTCGGCAACGTCTTCGCCACGGATGCCATCCTGGCCACCATCATGTGCTCCACGCGATCGAACTACTCCTGGGATATTGTCATCGAGAAAGTCGGTAGGTTACTGAAAATCAAGAAAGACAGGGATAATGTAGGGTAAATGTTTGAATTGTTTAATATCATTTGGGAAACACGAGTAATTATATGCGAGGAGCCGGTACAAAGGTTAACCGAAGATCCGAAGATCGTATTAAATATTATCATTATCATTCATAACATTTCAAATCAGCGCTAATAACACAATAAACAATAACAAATTTAAATATTTATAGAAAAGTACATATAGTAGATATAACAAATAATATTTTTGTATTAAATATAGTAAGCACTAACAATGACACACATATTATTACAGGCGACAAGATCTTCATGGACAAGCGTGACCACACCGAGTTCGACCTCCTGACCGTGAACGAGAGCAGCGTGGAACCCCCGACCGACGACGACAGCTCTTGCAACTCGCCCCGCAACCTGGCCATCGAGGCCACTTTCATTAACCACAACTTCAGTCAGCAAGTTCTGAAGACTGGCGACCAGGAGGCCAAGTACAAGTTCGAAGAGGGCAACCCGTTCATCAGCGAGGACGAGGATATCCAAGTGGCCAGCGTGGGCTACCGCTACAAGAAGTGGGAGCTGGGAAGCGACATTGTGAGTATTTGTTTATGGTAACGAACTTGTTAGTAGTAACTAAACTGAACAACAATTTTGTGTATGTCCTTTAGGTTCTGGTGGCTCGTTGCGAGCACGATGGTGTCCTGCAGACGCCCAGTGGGGAGCCGCAGTTCATGTCCATCAAAGCGCTCAACGAGTGGGACTCGAAGCTGGCCAACGGCGTGGAGTGGCGACAGAAATTGGACACGCAGCGCGGAGCTGTGCTGGCCAACGAGCTGAGGAACAACGCATGCAAGCTGGCCAAGTGGACTGTGCAGGCTGTGCTGGCCGGGTCCGATCAGCTGAAGCTCGGCTACGTTTCGCGTATTAATCCGAGGGACCACTCGCGCCATGTCATCCTCGGCACGCAGCAATTTAAGCCGCACGAGTTCGCCACCCAGATCAACCTGAGCATGGACAACGCCTGGGGAATCCTGCGGTGCATCATCGATCTGGTGATGAAGCAGAAGGATGGCAAATACCTGATCATGAAGGACCCCAACAAGCCGATCATCCGTCTGTACGACATCCCAGACAACACATTCGACTCCGATGACTCGGACGATGGCGAGGGCGACGACGAAGGGTTCCAGCAGGTCTACAACTACGCTCACAACAAGATTTAGACGTCACGCCCCCATATCCCAGAATCCCTTCCAGTCTTGGGCTTAAGCCACAACCCGCTAAACATAACCACAACCGATGTCCTCTGAAGGAAAGGGCCTTGTTCTAGGCCATAGCTTAAGCATTTGTATTCGAGTTACATTCAGCTATTTCCTAGTAAATCACAGAGGCAAAACAAAACATGAGCTTTACGTGGTCTCTGTCTAAAGGGGGAATATTTATCTCATTTATTGAAATAGTCTGCACATTGACGGCTATAATTTGGTGAATTATATCCCCAGTTTCCCGTCCCGTGTACTTAGTACTTCCGATATCTTTTTGATCGGACTTTAAGCTCCGACTGTTCAAGATGTTTTTACTAAAAGGGAATTTTTTCTGCTGCTTCAGGACGCACTCGGACGAATCTGCTAATTGGCGACAAATTTACTCTAAATGACATCCTGTTATTGGAATTTTTCATTCATTAAGCAACCACAATTTAAATTTCTTTACAAATCAAATATTTATTTAACCATAATATACTTTTAAAAATAGAAGCAAAATAGGTATTATACAAAAATTTTAAGACCGCTTCCGCTTAAATTACTCATCATCGTGTTAAGCAGTACATTGGAAAGTTCCAAAGTAAAAGATTTTAACATGATCTTTATGTATTCTATATAAGACGAATGGGAACACCCCGAAAAGAATGATAATTTTTTATCGAATTTCTAAGAAACTTATAAATTCCGGCAAAATAAGTAGCAATTTCATGTATATTTCAAACTTCAAGGAATGAACAACATGTTTCTCGGACCGAAAAATAATATTTGGTTCCTGCTCCAGCCTTTACTCTTGGCTCATTTTGCTAAATCTGGTAACTACAACAAGGATTTGTTAAACGTTAATTGAGTGTTTCCTGACATTTTTGTACAGTTTAAAAACATTAACATTTTAAAATTCAGAAAATTTTAAATAAGATAAATAATTTATGTAAGGTGCAGCAGCGTTTGCGCATTGTCGACCGGATGAGAAATGCGTCAGATTGGACACTTGTTACCCACTTATGAAGTTCCTAAGGCCCCGGGGAATGACAACTGCTGAGAGAGAAATATTTCATAACCGACAGTGCGGCATAGACAACAGAAGACTCGAATTACTGCACAAAGTTTTGATCTGCTGCCCGAAGAGTGGTGATGTCCTGCCAAATAATCAGATATGTGGCCAAACCCCGCCCGCTTTTCATACAACAGCTGGAGAAGAGGCGCCTCTGAACGGGTTTCCCTGGATGGCCATGCTATTATACGCGAATTCTTTTAGTTCGACGCAGGATACTGTACCCAGGTGCGCGGGATCACTGATCACCAATCGCTACGTGCTCACCGCGGCCCAATGTGTGAACATAAATGGCTTGGAGCTAAGAAGTGTGCGACTCGGAGAGCATGACACCTCCTCAAACCCAGACTGCCTCACTTTAATCAGTGGAACGAAGATATTCGCTCCCCCGCATCTGGAAATCAACGTGGAGCTGGCCATCAAGCATGAGCACTACGTGGCCATAGAAGGGAAGCACTACAACGACATTGCCCTGTTGCGACTCCAATTTCCGGTTCGGTGAGTAATGATTAACTGTCTTTAAGCTTTTATGTGACTTACTTAACCAAGCCATGTTTTTATTTCTCCAGGTATACGGAGCAAATCCTACCCATTTGTATTTTACCTAGCGATAATTTATCGAATCCTTCCTTTGACAACTACAGTTTGCAAATAGCGGGCTGGGGGTCCTCGCAAATGCAGAGTTCCAGCAATGTATTATTGTATGCCAACATCCAGGGCAGGAACCCGGATGAGTGCTCAAGAAGCTATTCGTTCTTAGGGATAAACAAGGAGACCCAAGTATGCGCAGGTGGCCAGAACAGAAAGGACACCTGTAAAGGAGACTCTGGCAGTCCGTTGATGGCCACAATGGGATGGGGCGTGGACGAATTCGTTTATTTAGCCGGGATTACCTCCTATGGATTTAACCAGTGCGGAGATTGGCCAGCAGCTTACACGAAAACTTCATGTTATGTCAATTGGATACAGAGGAGTATGTCGAGATATGAGGAAAACTAGGACATGCTATTTAAGACATATCTTAAAAAAAAAAAACAATTTTTGTAAATTAAAATAAAATCAAATTCAATTATATGAACATTTATAAAGGGACGAAGACGAATTTTACTCAAAAACAAGTCCTTAGATTAATTTTATTTGCTATTATGCCTCTTCTTAAAGGTTATTGCCTTATATGTAGCAGAAAACATATTTAAAAGCTGAACAAAAAAACACTATCTAATGCCCATCGCTCAGCTAAGGAAAGTGCAAGAGAGATGGAGACATGCAAGCAGCAAAGTAATTGTTCCCCAGATTGCACACAGCACCACTGCGCCATCTAGCGTCGATTCCTTTATGTGCTTTTAACTTTTTAATGGATAGTGCGATTTGATTTATTTATATATAAATGGATATTGCTAATCAAAACCAAATGCAATTTAAACCTTTACAAAACGTGCGTACCAGATGCCATATTCTTTCTATAAAATATACCTGAAGGCTAAAACATACAATCCCATTCCATAAGAAAAATCAATTGCTTCATGCGAGTTACATTTTAATGCCTTCCAATTAACATAAATGGTTTTGTTTATACTTAACTAATTGTGTTCATATCTCGACATACTCCACTGTATCCAATTGACATAACTTGAAGTTTTTGTGTAAGCTGCTGGCCAATATCCGCACTGGTTAAATCCATAGGAGGTAATCCCGGCTAAATAAACGAATTCGTCCACGCCCCATCCCATTGTGGCCATCAGCGGACTGCCAGAGTCTCCTTTACAGGTGTCCTTTCTGTTCTGGCCACCTGCGCATATTTGGGTCTCCTTGTTTATCCCTAAGAACGAATAGCTTCTTGAGCACTCATCCGGGTTCCTGCCCTGGATGTTGGCATACAATAATATACTGCTGGAGTTCTGCATATTCGAAGAGCCCCAGCCCGCTATTTGCAAATTGTAGTTGTCAAAGGAAGGATTCGATAAATTATCGCTAGGAAAAATACAAATGGGTAGGATTTGCTCCGTATACCTGGAGAAATGAAAACATGGCTTGGTAAAGTAAGTCACATAAAAACTTAGACAGTTAATCATTACTCACCGAACCGGAAATTGGAGTCGCAACAGGGCAATGTCGTTGTAGTGCTTCCCTTCTATGGCCACGTAGTGCTCATGCTTGATGGCCAGCTCCACTTTGATTTCCAGATGCGGGGGAGCGCATATCTTCTTTCCACTCATTAATATGATGCAGTCTGGATTTGAGGAGGTGTCATGCTCTCCGAGGCGCACTCTCCGGAGCTCCATTCCATTTATGTTCACACAGTGGGCTGCGGTGAGAACGTAGCGATTGGTGATCAGTGATCCCGCGCACCTGGGTACAGTATCCTGCGTCGAACTAAAAGAATTGGCGTATAATAGCATGGCCATCCAGGGAAACCCGTTCAGAGGCGCCTCTTTTCCAGCTGTTATATGAAAAGCGGGCGGGGTTTGGCCACATATCTGATTATTTGGCAGGACATCACCACTCTGCGGGCAGCAGATCCAAACTTGGTGCAATAATACGCTCCTTGTATTGTCTATGCTGCACTGTCGGTTATGAAATATTTCTCTCTCAGCAGTCGTCATTCCCCAGGGCCTTAGAAACTTCATAAGTGGGTTACAAGTGTCCAATCTGACGCATTGTTCATCCGGTTGACAGGCTAGAGGATTTAATAATACATTATATTTTGTTTAACTACACAGTTGTTCGCTACAGAAAAGTCTCGCCTAGGATAAGAGCCGCACTGTTAAATGAATTTTTTACATACAGGACTTAAATGTAATAAACACGCCACTTTTGAATGATTCTAATGTTTCCTGTAATGTGTAATTACCAAATACTAGAGCCGAGAGAAAGGCCTGAAGCAAAAACGAAATATAAAGTTTTTGTTCCAAAAACATGTTTAACCTCTGGGGATTAGAATTTAAATGAAGTAGATTTGATTCCCCTCATAAGTTTGTACAAGCTTAGCTTAATATTTTTATTATGAAATTGTAGACAGCTCTAAAGCTTTATGCGGACATAAACATAAAATAAATAAAACATTTAATAAAAAGGCACTGATAACCATTATCATTTTTTTTTTTTTTCTTTTTTGGGTTCCAATTCCAATTCTATCATTGCTTTCGGAACGAAAGAATCTGTGTGTCATATCCGTCTCAAAAATTTATTTTTAAAATTGTTTTAAACTTCCAGCTATATCAGTATAGCTATGTAATTTATAGTTGTTATAAAGACATGGGTATATTTATTTTATGACACTTTCGTCAATGAAATCTCCGGCAGAACAGAGCAGAACTGAATATACCACTGGCTTCATGATAAGATACATCATATCGAAGTCTTGGGATAAAAACCGGTTGAGAGAAGATTACACAGAGAAGGAAGACTTCAAATGGTGGGGCTGCCCATATAATCCCCTCTATACTAATGCAAATACCTGGGAAAGTCCACCCGTTCAATGATCGTTGTTGCAATCTAGATCGTACTTAACCCGTTGCCATTAAAATCGGGAGATAACCCCCGCTTTTCGCAAGCAATGCAGTGGGAGCGTATGAGATTTGTGCTGCCCAACAGCCGGAGAGCTTGATTAGTATCAGATTGAAACCCGTAGCGACGAGATGGCAACTACGGAACGTAATTTTCTACTGCTGTCGCTGGTGGTCAGCGCATTATCCGGATTGGTCCTACGAGCAGGTGGGTGAGCTGTCCTTGGAAGGCACACACAGAATCAAATCATTTCGGACTGACTCTACTGGATACTATTAAACTTTTAAATTCTATATTGCTTTTTTCAAAATTCTATACAGTTTGTTTAATGCGTTTTTTGTTTTATAGAATAATTTTATTGAGCTGGACCTTTTGACCTATAAGAATGAACATTGTACCCAACTTTCATATCTCTTCAACATCGGTTGTTGTTTAAAACTTAAAATGTGCAAACGATCTTAAAAATTTCTCTCTTATATTCTCCGCAAGGGCAAGTGTTTTTCCAATTAAAAGCAAGCTGTTTGTTATAATGAATTTATGCGTGTTAGATATCAATGGGAATATCTAACATTTTTGCACTGCCCGAGAACCGGTTAGACTGCATCGTAAACCGCGCTCTTCTCTTCCAGACTCGGCGGCCCAGATCAGCTTCGGCGCATGTACTCCACAGCAGAGCGAGGAGCGCGGCCAGTGCGTCCACATCACCAGTTGCCCCTTCCTGGCCGACCTGCTGAAGGTGGAGCCAAAGACTCCTGAACAGCGCGTCCTGCTCTCCAAGAGCCAATGTGGATTGGACAACCGAGTCGAGGGCCTGGTGAACCGCATCCTTGTCTGCTGCCCACAGAGCAAGAGGGCCGACATCGAGGACCCACAGCCCACGGCTCCCAAGGGTGCTGAACAGCAGCCGGGCAATGTGCTCCCCGGGAGCGATGACTGCGGATTCCTGTTTGACGATCGCATTTTTGGTGGAACCGCCACGAGCCTCTGGGAATTCCCGTGGATGGTGTTGCTGCAGTACAAAAAACGTGAGTACTTAATATACAGGGGTACGTTATCAGCATCCATGTATTCGTTATTGAGCAGATTATTTACCGGGGTCAATTCTTATCATTGAAATACGGAGATGTGCATTAAGTTGGCGGAATATAATTTTCACCCTTGAAAATTGTATTAAGTTAAAGTTACCACTTGAAAACTAAACCTTTTCATTTAAAGACCTAAGACTTTCCTTATACAACACTAAAGCCAGTGAGAACTTAAAATCATTTCTAACCTTATCAACTTATTAATATTATTGAAAAACTCGTTTATAAAAAAATAGAGAGCAAAAAAGAAAATGTTTGGTTAACATCTATCCTACCTATATGCAAATAATTTTATTTGTAAGGCAACAGTACGTATGAGTGATAAACTTTGAAGCAAATGCGCTGACCTTATTAAATTTCTTTACAAGTAATGCCTTAATGAACAGGAGTAAACAACTCACTAATCTATTTTTATTGTTGATGAAAGTAATAAACAATTTATTGAACTTTGCTTTAATAAATAATTTAATTCGTTAACTTTACTTTAAAAACATTTCAAAAACATAGAAAGCAATTGAAACAATATTGATGGACTTTCCCAAGGAAATGCGTCAAGATTAATATGCGACTTGATAACGAACGTTTATATAAAGGCAATAAAAATATAAGTATATATTATAATGATCGTCGTCAAGTTCCATTAAAAAATATTTACCAAGTATTTTGAGTTTTCCACTTATAGTTCAATTTTTCTTGCAGTTTTTTCCGAAACCTATTCCTTCAACTGCGGCGGCGCTCTGATCAACTCCCGCTACGTCCTGACCGCGGGACACTGCCTGGCCAGCCGTGACCTGGACAAGGCCGGCGTCGTCCTGCACAGCGTTCGCCTGGGAGAGTGGGACACCAGGACCGATCCCGACTGCAGCACCCTGATGAACGGAGAGCGCATTTGCGCGCCCAACCACATCGACATCGAGGTGGAAAAGGGCATCATCCATGAGCAGTTTGCCCCGGCCTCGGTGGACCAGAAGAATGATATAGCGCTGGTGCGCCTCAAGCGGAGCGTCAGGTGTGTGGATCCTTATAATTGATTATCCTGTGATTCCATTTACATTATCTCCAACAGCTACACCGACTATGTGCGCCCCATTTGCATGCCCACCGACGACATGATTCGGAACAACTTCGTCGACTACGGCATGGATGTGGCCGGCTGGGGACTCACGGAGAACATGCACCCAAGCCCGACCAAGCTGAAGATCACCGTCACCGTGTGGAACCTGACGGGCTGCCAGGAGCAGTACAACACCTTCTTCAAGGTGAAAATGGACGACACCCAGCTGTGTGCCGGTGGCCAGGCGGGCAAGGATACCTGTGGCGGCGATTCCGGCGGTCCCCTGATGGTGCCCATCACCTCCGGCGGACGAGATGTCTTCTACATCGCTGGCGTTACGTCCTACGGAACAAAGCCCTGCGGCCTCAAAGGCTGGCCCGGCGTATATACCCGCACAGGGGCTTTTGTCAATTGGATAAAGCAGAAATTAGAGGCATAATAAATAAAATTGCTAATTTATTCACATTTCTCGCATTGGGCTAGCTTACAATATTACGTACATGGTGCTGATTGGGGGACGGGGTTAGACTAACTAAGCTAAGCTCTAAGCTCTGGTGGAATGCCTACAAAGATTCGTGTAGGCCAGCATCCACATTTATCGGAACAACACATTAAATACAACTTGTTTGCTGCTGGCCTGACAACAAAAAAATTATACAAATAAAACTTGACTAACTGAAATTACATGAGGCGGATCAATTTACCATTTTGCTTAGTTGCGCGCTATATATATATATAATTCAGCTTTATGACATTATTTTTTAAGTGAAAAACTAACAACAAATAACTTTAGGAAATTTCGTTTAACTAAAAGGCTGATTGCCAGCAATACGAGTTGAGAAAAAATTCGAGATTCGAGCTAGTGGCTATAAAACGCCAGGTCAGACTCCCAAGCGCAGGCGGCGAAAGTCTTGTGGTTCTTCTGATAGGCACCAATTTTTCACAGGCACGAGCTGGGCACTCAGATCTCCTCCGGAGCAGCACGCGGCGCAGTTCCCATTCCCGCCGCGGTCCCATTTCGTTCATCCGTTACCAGACTGGCTCCCAAGGCAGTTAGCTCGCTCTCTAGTTGGCCCAAAACGCCCTTGACCGCTATGCAAAAGCCACGACTGCAAGGCAGCAACGGGAATTCGGGCAGCTCGCACGGCGCCTTATAATCCACGGGCATATCTATGGAATGGGATTATTAGTCATACGGAAAAACAGAGTTATTGACTAGCACTCACCCTTGATGCTGGTTATACGCTGGCGCTGAGCCTCAAGGGAGTATTCCGACCAGGCCAGCATGCGGCCGTGCAGCTCGCTGCCAAACTCCTTGAAGTGCTCAATCAGTTCATTGCGGAAAACGAGCGGCGGATTCTTCAGCTGCTTCACCGTGGAGTGGGCAATTTTTATGATGGCCATCTCGTTATAGACACGAGAGTTCTCATTGCCCAGTTGGGTGCCTGAAAATAACACCAATACTGTTTATTGCTGTTTCATGCAATAGGCCTGAATAGTAATCTACCTCGTTGTTTCTCGTAGCCCGCCTCGTTATAGTAGGGCTCATCGACCAGTATGAGTCCCTGTATGGAAACGAGCACTTGCAGCATGGTGCTGCCGGGCAGCCACACCTCGTTGTCGCGTCCTGACCAGGTGCCCAGTAGCGATACACACACCTTGCCCTCCTCGTACAAATTCGGATTGAGGCGCTCGGTGCAGTAGCTAATGTAGTGGCATACTGGCGGGCTCTTCGGATAGTCGCGCCCCATTTGAAAGTCGAAGAAGAATAGAGCGTTCTGGTAGGGCGTACGCTGCGGACCCACCATCATCACGGAAATCAGGTCCATGCGATCCTCGTAGGCACGGACCACAACTCCGGGGGGTAGAGAAGCCTTCAGCAAACGGTATTCCCGCTGCACAGCCCGCTGATATTGCGCTTTGTTGGCCGGGGTCACCTTATTGCTGATGAAAAAGTGGGCTGCTGGTGCATTGGACAGCACTTGAAAGCAATTCTCGCAGACGGGAGGGGTGTCCGGTATTGCAGAGGGCGAGGAGCAGGCCATGGGGCCGTCAATGGGCGGCAGTGACTCGGACAGGGCATTTAGATTCAACGGCTGCTCCATGGCCTCGTCAGCCGCTGTAGTTCCTTTTTCCGCTTGTCCCGCATCATCATCGGCCACCTCGATGGCTTCCTCGGCATCGCTCACATCCTCCTTCTTGTACGCCCCTATTCCAATGAACCCCTTCCTTTCTAGCGTTTTGCGGCACTTGTACATTTGGTCACTGATCAAAAAAGAGAAGACCTCACAGACGTCAACAGTGCGTTGACCGATGAACTCAATTTGGTCCTCCCTGGATTTTATTTTAGTCTGCTTAGTATCTGAATCCTCAGCCAATTTGTTCTCGCTGTCTGGATTGTTGGACTCGTCTGAAGTGTTTTCACCGCGCGAGTGGATGCC